CAGGAAGGAGAATTTAGTAGTAACTCAAATAGATTAGCTAGAAGTGAACTTACAAAATTCCCCACTATAAACGTATCGGTCTGGGTAGACAAAATGAGCGAAGATGATCCAGATTGCAAGACGCCAAAGTAAGCCAAACGGACTTGCTGATAAACATGCTTGATGTTCTCTACTGATTCAGTAATCTTCAATTTTAGTTCATGAAATGCTTGATTATCATCTTTCAAAAACAAATAAATATAACAAAGATGTGCTGCAGATAGAACCACAGCTCTACAATGCTTCTTCACTACCCCGGGGGGATTGCCTCGTAGCCTGGCAAAGTGAATCAAATTGTTAATGGATACCAACTTCTCTTGAAGGGTTTCCAGCTGTTCATAATATCCTGAGCTACGTTCCATAATATCCTGTTTATAATATACTGAGCTACGTTCCATAACATCCTCAAGATTCTCCAGCAAGGAGTCGAAGAATTCCATGAATTCATCTGCTGATGAAAAACTGGGCTTCACTAAGCGATCCAACAGATTCCAGGGCTCGTATTCTCTCGTACTCGGTCGGATTCTAGCCCGAGCAACGGATTGCGTAACCAACTCCAACATCTCGACATACGCTTCGCTTATTTTATGTTTACAATCCATTAGAGTTTCTCGGAAACCAGAGACCGCTGCAGCCAAGTCGCTGGGGGGCAATCCATCCTCTGATCTAAGAAGCAGCTTGTGAAACTTGTAAGCTTCTCCATGAACAGAGTCTTCAACTCTGGAAGAGTACGCCAATCTCCTTGAACACAGGACAAATGTTTTCACCAGTCTTAACTCCACCGTCAGGTAATGCACTTCCAAAACATGATGAGGTTGGCAAAAATATCTCTTTTCCATAACCAACTGCAGCTTGTCCAAGATTGAACAGATGCAAGTCTTGAAGTCCATCTGCTTTCTTCTTCTATTGCTCTCAGAATTCCTTCTCTCTCAGAAGTGATTTTGTCTTCTCCACCTCTCAACATGTGATGTGACTGAATCCATCCAACCCCCAGTTTCTCCAATGGAAAGACTTGTAAAAACGAAGCAGGTAAAGCGATTGTGTGCCCCAACCAATCCCAAGTTCCCAACATGATTGGGCCGTTTCCGAGAAACTAAACTAATGCTTAATTGATTGATAGGGTCAACGGTACACATGATTGGTGCAAATGAAACGCGTCAAAGATTGAATTGTTAACCACTAAACAACAAATAAATCTGACTTCTTTGATTTATTCGAATTCATATTCTTGCTTAGGACTTCTAATGCTATTTGAGAAAACAACTTATATGTATGTATACAATACGTACGTATTATATTTTAGGCTCAAGTGCAAGTTACCTCCTGTGAATAACAAATTGCTTCCTGTAATGAGAGATTATACAAGTCGTTGTCCCATGGAGACAAATCGTCAAAGATGTGGGTTGAATTTCTTTGTGAATGAGGCGTGAGAGGTGGTCATACTGTGTTTTTGACAGTTTTATCCTTAGTTATGTTATTATATTTTTGTTTTATAAAAGAACATTATTGTAGTGTCAAAAAAAAAATGATGATACAACTTCAGATGTAAATAATTATCGAGATCACATAAATTATTTTTACTAAATAAATATTTTATCTTCTTATGATAATTCAAGATATTGAAACATTATCATGAAAACAGCAGTGTATATTTAAACATCAAACGGATCATTGATAAGGACCAAAAAAATAAAAATGTATAAATATATAAATTTTTTTGAGTATATAATTTTCTTCTTTTTTTTGTGATAAAGCATTATTACTAAATATAGAATTTTTTAACAAAAAATATAATAATATGTATTTAACTGTTGAAAAATACCAATATTTTTACTTGTACATAATACCGGTGTTAAAAAATATATTGGTATTTTCTAAGAAAAAGTTTTCAATAGCATAAATTATCATAAGTAACTAAACAATTGTTTAGTAAAATTATTTATTTAATTTCTATAACAATTTACATTTGTAGTTATATCAGCATTTCTTAGACATTACAATATTCTTTAATAGAAAAAAATACAATAACACCACTTCCGAAGTATGAAACTTCCAAATCATTGTATATCTAATGGTATGACTATCTTTCAGACCACTAGAAAATGTAACTTATCTAATAATTTACCTGCAAGATATAACTTATGTGCTAACTATGGACTGAAATAGTTTCACTTATTATAACTTGCAAAAATTGAATAAAAATGTAAAAGTAGGAAATGCGTGGCCGTCGATGTCTTGATGATGACTTCCTAGAGCTTGTAGCGGTTTGTCGACAACCGTCTGATGATTTGTGTGGACTCACTAAATACACTTTGCCCCCATGAGTTTGAGCCTGAATAACAATTTGGCCCTTAAACTCTAATGTATACCCCTTATCTCCATTGGAACTTTATAACGAGTCAAAATTAGGTTATATTTTCTCATGTATTTGGCCAAAATAAGGCTTAAAGCTAGAAGAAACTCAAGTTTGGTATTTAAAAAATTAAAATAAGATTAGAAATTGAACCAAAAATCTCATAATTATCTGACTAATATCCCTATTAATTAAATTGTGATTGGAGACAATACATTGAATTTGTTACTCAATTTCGGTATTTAAAAAATTAAAATAGGATTAGAAATTGAACCAAAAATCTCATAGTTATCTAGAAATTGAACCAAAAATCTCCCTTCCCTAACCACTAAACTAGAACAAGAAATTGAAAAATTAATCAAACATCTCGAAATCATCTTAACCTACAGTAATCAACAAACGAAAACAAAAGGGTCACTATGATCTCCTTAAAATATCAACAACTTGTATTGCTAAGCTCAAGGAATAAAGTTTGGGGGAACATGAAGGCTACAAATTGAAAATTATTTATCTTCGTGTTTTCAGAATGACAAACATTAAATAATGCATTAGGTAACATGTATTCCTAATGACTATTCCACCATTATTAACCCACAACCATCGGTCATTGTGCTTTCTTGGAAAGGCACAATGAAATGGCTTTGCTTGGACTTGAGAAATGATACATGAATCCTTCCTTGTTCCCGGTTGGTCCTTCTTTAGTAGCCAGGAAAGGGAAATAGGCACATCTTATCGACATACATCGTCCCAAGCACCTATTTGCCTTAGTCAAATCAAGCACGAAGACGCGGCTGGTGAACAGCTCCCCATGCCGAAGCTACAAATCTACAAATCGTGACTTTTTGTTACTTAGCGCTGCTGAAGTCTACGTTGATGTGGTCTTTCCTGCATGTGCACTCTGACAGTCGTTGACATTCTCGTTTCAGCGTCCTAATAGACGGGCAAGGCTATCAACGGATCGAATTCGGGTCGAAATTGAATATTTTCGACCTGAACTTGCTTGATTAACTATATATTTGTATCTGAGTCAACCTAAATACCTGATGGGTCTTAAACTTATTATTTCGGATTCGGGTTCGACCAGGTTCCGATACAAGTCAGGTATACCGAACCAAAAAATTTAGGTGAACAAATGAAGAAAATATCTCTTTAAACAAACATTAATTGAACACCACAAATTCCAATTAAAAATTACAAATTATTTTAGATAATTACTCTAATGCCTACAAATTATAATTTCTAAAAGATCCAAACAAATATTAAATACTCAAATATATTATCAAAATAATTACTTATTCAAACGGTTTGGGTCGGAACCCAATATTTCATATTCGACCCATTTTTATATTTGCATAAACGGACCCAAGTCGGTCCGGGCAAATGGAATTGTAACCATACCTATACCTAAAAATATAAAGCAGGTTCTGGTCAAATTTCGACCCGTTGACAGGCCTATAAAGGGTTGAACATACAATAAATATCAAACCCAAAAATGGGAGTTGTTACTAGAGATTTCAGCTCCTAATAGTCCAGATCCACCAAGCCACAGGGTCACCGAAGGTAATGAAACAAATCAATTCCCCTTCCAGGAGTTTATGCCAAATAACAGATAGATCTACTCAGGCATGGTAAGCTGCATTGACCTACACTTTGAAACTAGTAATCTTACCTGTACACTGACCTACACCAACACACCCTGAAGATGATGTCTTAAATTATTTCACATTTCAGATGTGAAGTTAGAACTCCGCCAAACCAGCTAATCTTTGCCACCACACCAACAAAGACCCACTAACATTCAACCAATCTTGATTTAAGTAAGACTTTATCCTTCAACAAAGAGTCTGAAGCCAAAGGATTACCAAATTTTAAGTGTAGAAGGCTAATCAAATTGCCTTCCCTGAGGATATGCCAAACAACAAATAGGCCCCCTCAGGCATGGAAAGCTACTTTCAGTCACATTTTGAAACCGCTTATCTGGCCTTTCTGGTCACATATTAAACATATTCCAAGAATGAAGCTCAATTTATGCAGAGACATAAGGAGAAGCATATTTCACATGATAACATAAAATGGAAACAAAAAACTGGAGGGCTACGGAAAGCTAAAACCAGTTCTGAAGAATCGGCAAGCCAATTACAGCATAACAGCAGACTTACACAAGCTCATTGAATCTTCCCAAGGATGACTTTACATTTGTTTGAGAACTTTTCATGAAAAATAGTAGCTCCCACACGTCATCCAAAAGTAGGAGATACTTGAATTCACTTACTTTTGCTATATGCTTTCCAAACACAAGTACCAATGATTCCTCTTTATGGGCAAGAATAGGGGCCATGCTTACAGGCTATGTGATTCAAATGAAGGATGAATCTATCTGGAAAGCAAAAGAGATTAAAGGCAAAATCCCTTGTCCCTCCCAAGTCAATTTCTCTTTGCATGTTGCTCAATTTGCAATTTGATTCTATGAAATACAGTGTAGATGATATCCTTGTCAATCGATGTATCATTTTTATTATGTTCCTTGACCATCAAACTAGTCTGAAGAGGACCAAATTTTTTAGACCGATAGGAAACTCATTCTGTTGGAATGTGAACTTCACCAGAATTCTACAGGCCTCACAGCAAAATAAATTAGTCAAATTGGACTTGGAGAAGCAAGCCTGAATTCTTGGGTTATCAAATAAGGTTCTCTGAAAGTTTTTGTCACTAGTTCTTCAGAGATGGATTTCATTTAGTATCAAATCACTTGAGCAAATTAGCATCATGTCTATTAAGGACTTATCTGACGAATGAGCCAGAAAATTTCGTACAATATTTAGCTCATATACATAGCTCTGCATGTCATCGACCATCAAATATAGAGAAACTCAAACTACCTGTAACAAAGGGAAAGAAAGGCTAATAAGTTTATCAGTATTACTCATCACCTAAAGTAGAAACCTAGACAATGCCCATCTAGTTACCAGAAAAGCGATAATAAATGCCCTGCTCCAACATTTTGGGACAGCGAGCAAACCTCTAGTGAAACTCAGAGACATGTCTGAAATTCACAAGCTTCTGCCACAATTGATTTTGCGCTCCTCCTACCTACAAAGAACATAAAAGTAAAATAAATCTGCGGCTTTCTTGGAGATTCAGTCAATAGGGGTTTTTATTTTCTTTGCTGAACATGTACAAATAGCTAAGCATCAATAGAGGATGACATCACGGAGTTTTTATTTTTCATTACCCTCAATATGCAACATCTTTTTTTAACAAAAATGCAGTTTGTCTCTACTACAATGGCAAGACTAGTTTTATAGTATGCAATAATGCAACTGCATCATCAGCGTTTTCAGAGTCAGTTTATCAAAATTCAACACATCTGCATTACAGTAACGTAATTCATCATCCTGAAAATGGATTACAGAGAGATATTCAAACTTACAAAAGAACATATCTCCCATCAACTGAATCTGATGAAGATGAATCCTCAATCTCCTCTAAGATAAGGATCTTCAGATCCTCATTTCCCCCTCTCATCTGTTCTTCCCCTATCTCGTGGACTAAACTTCGTACAAAGGGTCGACACTGACGCACCTCAATCTTTTCAAGAGTCGGAATATACCCTAAACATGAAGGGAGCTCTTCCAATTTTCCACAGCGTTCCATGACTAATTTCTGAAGACAAGGAAGATGATCACCTGAGCCTGTCCATCTCACAATGCGCAAGGAAACCAATTTTAGAAACCTGAGTTTAGGGAATTCCCCTTCTTCCATGTTCCATATTTCCGTCCCACCTCTTTTTGCACCCACTAACTTGAGCACTTGAAGATTAGGAAGTTTTCGAGTTGTGGAAATTATACTCCATGGAAATTTCTTCAAAGTCAACTTTTTTCAGATTTAAGGGCAAATGGAACTCAAAAGGATTCTCATCCACAAGACCAAATGACAGGTTCAGAGACTCCAGTCGTGTCAGAAAGTCCATTACCACAATCTTGCTCCATTCCCCAACTGATTCTTTTGTTCCTTGAATCTGCATTTTAGTTTGCAGATATTTGGAAACTTGGCGATTATTTTGTTCACGTTTTGTCCCAATATAAGTTTTAGAGCTGAAAATGTGTGCAAATTATATAAATCTGAGGAGCTATCATCATTGTCTTTTGCCAAACTAAGATTAAAAAAGCTGCCACGTGCATGTAGATACCTCAATGTCTGCATATTCCAAATACTATCAGGCAATGAAAGACTATGATGCCATGATTCTAGAACAAAAGTTTCCAATTTTGAGAGGTTGGCTATTTCATGGTGCCTCGAACTGCCAAGAATTTTAACTGAACAAGCAATGCTATTTCGCCAGGAAAAATGGAACCCAGATTAATTTTCACAAAATCCAACACTCCAAGAAGTTTGAAAATCCGAACAACGAAATGGAAATTGCTTTGAATTTTAGGTTCGTGAGATTGAGCAGAGACCAAGAGAGTACGTAGAAGGGGACAAAACAGCCTTGACCTCTCAAAGTTCTCCCCATTGGTGTAAACAAACAATCGATGGGTGCTGCTTGGCTCATCAAAATTAAGAATTTCAGCATAACAATGCCTCAACTTGATAAATTTCTGCTCTTTAGCTTTTGTCACACAAAATTCGTGAAGCAAATCGTGAATGCGGCAAGCTTTCACTGTACCTGTGGATTTCTGTTTACTAACGATAACCAAGCTTCTACCAATTAGATCCATTATATAGTCCTCAGCAGTGTCCTCCAGGCTCTTTAGGTCAGTCTTGTGTACGAATCCTTCCGCTATCCACATCCGCATCAACCTCCAGATAGGAATTTCTTGGTTTTCTAGAAATGCCCCAAAGTAAAGAAAGCATGGCTTCAAATGCTTTGGTAAATGTATGTAGCTCAACTCTAATATATCCATGCATTGTTCTGTACCGCAAACAACTTTTGAGCTTAGCATCTCTGCCACTTCTTCCCAACCATCTTGGTCTAAAGTTGCAAGAACTCCTGCTATGATGACAATTGTTAAAGGTAGTCCTTTACAACCTTTAGCTATATGCCGCCCCAAAACACTTTTCACTGGAGGATGGCCGTTTCTTTCTGCTAGCTTCTTCTGTAATAATTCCCAGCTCTCATCGTCAGTGAGTTGGCGAAGAGGGAGAGATTTAGCCGTTGGTTTGGCTTCCAAAGCTAAGTTATGAATTCGGCTCGTTAAAAGAATTCTACTTCCATTAGCATCATTTGGGAATGATCTTTCCAGACAATTCCATGCCTTAATGTCCCAAATGTCATCCAAAACTTGGAGATACCTGTTTCCCTTCAAACTTCTGTACAAAACTTCAGCAAGATCATCTTCATGCATCATACCCCAATCAAACCTCTCAGGCTCAATACAAGCCAAAATCTCCAATAACACATCTCGCTTTTGATATACTTGAGAAATACAGCACCAAACACGAACATGGAAATGGCATGTAATTAAAGCATCACGGTAGACTTTGTTAGCTAAAGTTGTCTTACCCTGTCCTGGCATGCCAACAATAGACACAATGTCCAACTGTTTTGATCCTCTGGTAAGTTGACAGATTAACTGTTCTGCCTCATCTTTGTATCCCACCACTTCTTGATTGAACATGGAGGGTGTCCCTTGTGACCGCAACACAGTTGAAAGTTTGGCAGCTTTCAGGGCTTCAGAACTGTGCTCATTGTTATTAATCTCCAAAAGCCCCGCTTTACCACGCTTAAACTCTTCTACCATGATACTCGGAGAATCAAATGCTGCCGCTTCTGTAGAATTAGCTGCAAGTTCTGCCTCGATAATCCTAATCTTGTCTTGCAAAGGAAAGATCAGAAGATCCACTTCCATTTCATGCATATACAGTGAGGACATTACAAATCCTGCCTCATTGACTGCAGCCGGAACAATCTCCTTCACCTTTTCATACATCTGACCAAACTTCTGTTGCTGGTTTTTGATAATGGTTCTCAAGAATCTCAGTCCCTCCCATACTGCACTGATTTGATCCATCCTAGAAGCCATTAAACTGGTAGTGCATTTCAGTAGCTCCCAAAGATTACCAAGGAGAGAATCAACAGTATCCCCCAACAATTGATTATGCATCTCATCAGTCAGAGTATATGAAGACCATGACGAATTTGAAGCTATCAGGACTTGGATATAAATCTCACGGACTTGGGCATGAGTGGGATTGACCTTCTGCAGCAGTTCGGAAATGCTAACCTGCAGCTGGTTGCAAATTTCTCCATCCTTTCCATCATCCCAGTACATGTAAGTGAGGCCTGCTGCATTTATTGCCACAATCTTAATGTGAGATAGGACATCAACCAACTGTCTCTGCTCACCAGCAACACCTCGCAATATAACAAACCGAATTAGATTTCGCAAGAAACTCAGCTTGTCATGGAGGTCTTTGATTGGTTCTTGCAAAACCTGAACCCGATCGTCACATCCTACTTTTCTCACAAAATCCGTCAGATTCTTCAGCACGGAATCAACAAGTTCGGTTACTCCATCTCCAACTGGACGGCAGAAGGTTTGTAAGAACGAGCAATTCCGCAAAGTGATGAACAGATCACCAATTTGTTGCCTCAAAGTTTTGATGGTCCATTCAACATCCAGCAGCATCAGCATCAAATTTTTACTCCCTACTCTGCTTCGTTTTGATCTGAGAAAAGTATATCGCAACTCCTGTGCGTACTCATTGATGGCAGCTTCAAGTCCAGACATTGAAGATTTCACACTTGCGAGTTCACTACTACTGTTACCATGAGATTCTGAAAGTTTCAGGTCTCTGCTCCATTCTCTAGCGCACAGAAGATATGTTCTCAAAAGCCGGAGCTCAGGTCTGAATTCCTTGAGCCAAACAACATCTAGATCCCTTTCGATTTCTGGATTTTCTAGAGTCTCCAAGAGTGAATACAAGTAATTCGAGGTGCCCATCTGAGCTGAAGGATTGGATTGCTGATTGCTCAACAGAAATTCAGAAAATGGAACGGCTTCAGATCCTTTTTTTTTTTTTCTGTCTTTGTCAGAACTGCAACTTCAGATCTTGAACATCTATACTTTGGACTTCGGAGTGGCAAATTCAAGTTGGGTGGCTCTGGGCGGAGGACGTGGCCCGTCATTTGGTCACGCATGCTAATTCATTGTCAATTTGTCCCCTAAAATTTCCGTCTATCATCAATTTACACTCCATTTTGAAAGTCAAGGACAAAACTGCCTCTTCATTTTCTTTTTTTTTTTCCCCCCTTTTCTTTTTCCTTTTGCTTATCTTCGCTTTCTTTTCTTTTAGGATAAATTACACTAACCTTCCCCCTGGTTTTTACAAAAATTAGAGACTCTCCCTTGATTTAAAAGTAGCAGCAAAGGGTGTGTGTGTGTGTGTGTGTGTTCCCCTCTCCTTTCAGGTCAAAAATTTAAAAACCAAGCAAATTATTCTTCTACCGCCTATGAAAACATTTCCAATACCAACAATAAAAACACATTTAATTAAAATTAATAATAAAAGCTTAGGCCTTGTTTGGATTGTTGTTTTTTAAAAAACAAAAATTACATTTTTGACGAATGCATTTCTCAATCGCCTTTTTTATCTCACATATATCAAATTATTATAGTACATTTGTGTATAAAAACTTCAAAAAATAAACAATCCATGTGGATTCTTCATTCTTCTTTAACCTTATCTTTTCTCTTCCTTTTTAGTTTTTCCGCCCACATGATCCCGCTTTTAACTTAAAAAAAAAAATCTAGTCAACTCTGACTCTGACCCCATCAATAAATTTATGTTCATATCAAGAATCTGCCATGAAGCCTCACGAACTGGAGGTAGCCAAATAGATTTGTTTGGTACAAATTCCTGTTTATGTTATCCTGCAACTTTTTGTCATTTATCAGATTGACAAAGTGGCCGTATCAGTTGCAAAGAATCATACTTTTTTTCCATTTTCTCCCATCCTGTTCAAGCGACCTATAGGCATTACCGTCAATTGCAAAATTAAAATGCTTTTGCAGCTTTGCATATTGTTAATCAAGAACTCAAAGTCACCCCTGCTGCACACTTTCATCACATACAGCAGCCAAAAAGAGGCATGGGAAAGAACTCTTCTTCTGTTTTCTTTTCTTGTATCAGATAGTGTTTAACCATTTTCTTGTAAAGCCAATGTGAAACGTGTTTCTGACTTATAAATCCATCATGCTAAACTCGTATTCTACAAAATGGATTCAACAGATGCTGTAGACTTAATTAACCATCAGGCACAAAGTATATTGACCATTAACTTTTTGATGATCAATTTATCCACTAGTACAGTAATCTGTTACTAACAATTTTCTATATATATGTAGGGCAAATTACATTTTACCTCCCTGTGGTTTAATATTTTTTTATATAACCCCCCTATGATTTTAAAAACTATACATAATCTCCTCATGATTTGGATTAAAACGTCAAAGTAACGGAAATAGTCATTCGTAACGGAACTTCTACAAATGTCGTAATTACCCTTATAAATAAATGACACACTAATTCCGTATGATTTTTATATTTTACTAAATAACCCCCTTATAGTTTAATACTTTACCATATAACCCCTTATGATTTTCAAAATATACACATAACTCCCCTTGGTTAATAAATAATTTTCAACTTTATATAAGAGTATTTTTGACATTTTAGGTGACTCCGTTACGAATGATCATTCCTGTCACTTTGACACTTTAATCCAAACCATGAAGGGGTTATATATAGTTTTTGAAACCATAGGAGAGTTATGTAAAAAATGCTAAATCACAAGGGGGTAAAGTGAAATTTGCCCATATATATATATATATATATATATATATATATATATATATATATATATATGCAATGAAGTGATACAAATTACATCATCTAAACAATCCTGCAGAAATCATTGTGCTATTCTTTTACAGAGCTGTAAAGTTGCAAGCCAAAAGCATAGCAGATGCCATCACATCCATAGCCTCTTATCTCCCATGACACAGCAGACATGACTAAGCATCAGTTCAAGATCGTATCAGATTGTGAACTCCAATTTTCAAGCAAAGCTAATGTAAAACATGTAAATGGATTCCGCAGATATTTTAGACTTAATTATAACCATCTGGCAAAAAGTGTATTGATCATCAATTTTTTTCACAATCAATTTATCTTTACTAGTACATTAATTTGTTACTAACAATTTCAGCATATATATATGCAGTAAAGCCAAAAACATTACATCATTCTAAACAAAGCCAAACGGAAGATATTCACTCTTATGGCAGATGATCTTTCAGAATACCCTGACCATCCCTTTGAATTTCAATCGGACCATGAAGAAGTATCCTCAATTTCCCCTGAGATGCAGATTTTCAGATCCTCATTTCCGTAGTCCATCTGTTTTTCCATGATATCTCGAGCTAAATCTCCAGTAGAGTATAGACATCCATGCACCTCGATCAATTGAAGAGTTAATGTTTCCCATAAACAGGAAGGGAGCTCTTCTAATTCCACACAATCTTCCAAAACTAATTTCTCAAGACAGGGAAAATTATCTTCCGAGCCCTTCCAGCAGACTATATTCAAGGATTTCAATTTCAAGACTTTGAGATTGGGGAAGAGTCCTTCTTCCATGTCCCATTCCTTAACCCCATCACCATCAGATTGTCCGATTAATTTGAGAACCTCAAGATTGGATAGCTGTCCAACGGAGGAAAGTAGACTCCAAGAAAAGTCCACCAGGGTCAACCGTCTAAGATTTGAGGGGAGAAGAAGTTCAATATGATGTGCACTCACCTGACTAAGAAGCAGCTTTAGTGATTCAAGTTGCCTGAGAGAGTCCATTGCCACAATCTTGATGCTGTCACTAGTAGATTCCTCTGATTCTAGGAGACAGCATTTCAGTTCGCGGATATTTGGAAACTTTCTTATCATCGCATCCAAGCTTTGCCCTACGTAAAGCTTTGGAGTAGAAAAGGTGTCTAAGTTATACAAGACAGACGAGGATTCAGGGTTGTCATTGGCCAAACTAAGATCAATCAGAGCACCACGTACATGAAGATGCCTCAATTTCAGCATATTCCAGAAAGCATCTTGCAATAAAGAAAGGCCACCACCTGAATAATATGTTGTCACAATAAAAGTTTCCAAATCTAGGAGGTTAGCTAGTGAGGATGGGATGATGTTCATCCTACCTAGAACTGCCAAGTACCTCAGCCTAACGAGCAAGCATAATTCATTCGGAAAAGTAAAACCTAAACTAATATGTCCCAAATCCAATACTCTAAGAAGTTTCATCTGATGAATGGAGGATAAGCTGTATGATACTTCACGCCTTCTAACACCCGATGTAGAATGTTGTAGAGAGCGTAGGTGGGGACAAAATATCCTTGACTTCGCAAATTGCTTTGGTTGACAGTAAATGGATAACCGACGTGGGTGTTGTAACTCATCCAATTCAAGAAATTCATCATACCCTTGTACCAAATGTAGAAAATTTTGATCTTTGGCTTTTCCAACACAGAACACATGTAACAAATCATGAATGCGGCAGGTCTTGACCCCACCTGTGGATCTTCGTTGCCCCACCATAACCAAGCTTCTGTTAATTAGAGCCATTATATAGCCTTCTGCTAATTTCTCTGTGCTCTCCAACTCATTTTTCTGCACAAATCCTTCTGCTACCAATAACCACATCAACCTCCGGATAGGTATTTCTTGATCTTCTCTAAATGCTCCAAAGTAAAGAAGACATGGTTTCAAATGGTCAGGTAGATGTACATAACTCAGCTCTAATATACTCTTGCATTGTCCTGTGGCACCAACCACGCTATTTGAACTTAGCCTTTCTGCAACTTTCTCCCAACCATCTTGATCCAGGGTTGCAAGAATTCCAGATATAATGACAATTGACAGTGGCAGCCCATTACAATTTTTTGCTATTTGCCTCCCAAGAACATCTAGTTCTGGAGGATAGCCTTCTTCCCTGGTAACTTCCAGCTTTCTTTGTAGTAATTCCCATCCTTCTTCTTCAGTAAGTAGCCGAAGAAGGTGAGGCTTACCAGGAATCTCATGGTTTCGACTTGTTAAGAGAATTCTGCTCCCATTGGTATCATCTGGGAATGATTCTTTCAAAGCATTCCATGCCTCAGTGTCCCAAACGTCATCCAAAACTATGAGATACTTCTTTTGCTTCAAGTGTTTACGAAGTGTGTTAGCCAAATCATTTTCATTCCTTTCAGCATATTCATCTTTCTCGTCAATGCAAGCTAAAATTTCTAGTAACAAATCTTTCTTGCTATATACTTGGGAGATACAACACCATGCAAGAATGTGGAAGTGAGATATAATTGAAGGATCATGGTAGACTTTTTGTGCCAAAGTTGTCTTACCTATTCCAGGCATGCCCACTATGGACACGATGTTGAACTGTTTTGATCCTCCTATAAGTTGATCAATTATTGCTTGCTCCTGATCCTTCAGATCTACAACAACTTCATTGATTGCTGAGATACTACTCTGCGATGGCATGTCCCTCGGGCTCTTGGTAACTTCTTGGGCTTCAATGACGTACTTATCGCCTTCAATCTCCAAGGTCTCAGTCTTTTCGCCTCTCCACTTGCTTATTGCTGCTTCATTGATTGCTGAGATACTACTCTGTGATGGCATGTCCCTCGGGCTCTTGGTAACTTCTTGGGCTTCAATGACGTACTTATCGCCTTCAATCTCCAAGGCCTCAGTCTTTTCGCCTCTCCACTTGCTTATTGCTGCTTCATTTATTGCTGAGATACTACTCTGTGATGGCATGTCCCTCGGGCTCTTGGTAACTTCTTGGGCTTCAATGACGTACTTATCGCCTTCAATCTCCAAGGTCTCAGTCTTTTCGCCTCTCCACTTGCTTATTGCTGCTATGAAAAAAATAGGAAGGCAGTAGAACGCCTGGCTCAGAACCTTGGTAGTTTTCTGAGCTTTGAAGACATCCTTTTCGTCATCAATCTTTGAGAGTTCAGTTTTGACAAGATTAACTTCGTCAAGTACTTGGTGGGATACCTGGCTTGCTACCTGGTGCAACACCTGGTGGGGTGTTCCAGTGCTCCACTTGCTTCTTGCTGTTTTGAGAAAATATTAGAGAAAATGGAATATTATTTTAAAAAAATTTGGAGGTCCAACTTCACCATTGTTGCAATTATTGTTGAAAAATTGAAATATTACCTTGTGATGTCACATACTTCGAGATTGTGGTTGCATTCTGTGCTTCACTCTTAACAAGCTTAATTTCTTCTGTGATGCTGTCAAGTAACACCAGAGAATAAAATGACATATCTCCAACTACTAAGGAGTCGATAACAAACTCTGCCTCGTGTGCCACCTCAATAACCTGACTCCAAAGAGCTTGGAGCTCCTCGTGCTGGTTGTTTTGCTCCCTGTTATTTTCCAAGAATGATCTTAAGAATAGAAGATCATTCTGCATTGTTTCAATTGGGAGCTTTTCATTCCGGTTGAGCTGCTCCAAATTATTTTCCATGAATGATCTTAAGAATAAAAGATCCTCTTGCATAATTTGAAGATCGAGGTTTGGATGCCTGGTGGGATGCTCCACGGTCTTCTTCAAGTACGATCTTAAGAAATTACCTCTATCCTCTGCAAAAGAAACTGGATCAACTTTACTGCTTGCCAGCTCCTTCAAATTTTCCAGGAGAAGATCAATAAGCGCCAGTGCATTGGTTGTAGAAAGGTCAAAACTCAATGCCAATGGGTGCTTTTCCCCAACTTCTGCCTTAATAAGCTCAATTTTGTGCAATGAGCAAAATATCATAGCATCTATTTCCATGGCCAAAACTTCTTCAATTCCTTTCTGGTACAGTGAGAAAATTACAACACCAGCATCATTGACCACAGCTCCAACAAGATCCTTGGTTCTTCCATCTAGTCCATCATACCTCTCTTGCTGCTTCTTGAGAATGTTTCTCAAGAATCGCAGTCCATCATAGAGTATCTGCATTTGATGCTTCAGGGATACCATAAAAGCAGTAGGACAATTTTGTAGCAACTCCCAAAGATTACCTAGGAGAGAATCTACAAAATCCCCCACTATAAACATATCCCTTTGGGTAGACAGAGTGAGGGATGATGATTGAAATTTCAAGACGCCAATGTAAGCCGAACGGACTTCATGATAAACTGGCTTGATCTTCTCTATTGATCGTGAAATCTTTAATTCCACTCCACAAAGCACTTCATCATCATCCCTAAAAAACCAAAAAGCGTAACAGAGATGTGCTGCAGATAGAGCCACCACTCCACAGTGCTTCATGAGTTCCTTCTGTGCTTCATCAAGCTTGCTTTGCATCCTGGCAAAGAGGATAAAATTTTTAAGGAATACTAGCTTCTCCTGAAGGGCTTCGAATAAGGCTTCGAATAAAGTTTCAAATCTGGAATCACAGGCTTCACCCAAGAAGTTAATATCCCCAAGATTCTCTAGCAAGGAGTCTAGGAATTCCATGAATTCTTCTATCCTAAGAGAACTGGATTTCAACAAGCAATCAAGCAGTTTGGAATATGATTCTGTCTCTTTAAACAGCGAAGGCTCGTCATATAAAAGACGCCATCTGTCTTGAGACAGAGAAACGGGTAGCCCTACGGAGTTTAACATCTCAACATAAGCTTCACTGATTTCTTGCTTAACATTCTCTAGAGTATCTCCCCAACTAGAGGCTGCGCCAGCTGGGTCGATGGGGGGCAATCCATTCTCCAGTCGGCGAAGAAGATGATAAAACTGCCCCAGTTTTGGATTCTCAGGATATTCAAGGCTAAACCAGAAATATGCCAATTCCCTGGCACACAGAAGAAATGTTTGCACCAGTCTTAGCTCCACCTTCAGCTCATCCAAGCCTTGATTATCCCTGCTGAAATCACATCGCTTGCTCACCAGTGACCGCAGTTTCTGTGACGTTGAATCGATTATAATGATGCAGTCCATCCACAGTTTTCTGCTTTCCATGATCGTTCTTCCAGTGCTCTCAGATCTGAAAAAATTGAAGCAGGGAAAACTTTTGTGCGTTCTTCTTCCTCTCGATAAAATCTCATATGGATTTCAAGAAACTAATACAACCGCGTAGTTGATTTTGGGGTCAACCATACCAGTTTTCTTTTGTTTCGCTATCAGTACAAAACCATGTGCTTAGATGGTATTACCATCTTCTTCTACGGCAACATCGAAATGAACGTGCAAAATGGAACAAATGGCCGTTAAACTATGAAAAGATTTGTGTTATTGGTGATTAAAATTTTTTATTTAGTAATATTGATAATCCAACCAATTAAAACTGTTGCTTTTCGTCATTATTTTTTTGAAAAATTCTCTCTATCAGGAGAGAGGAGCGACGGGATTTAAAAAATGGGAAAGGAGTAATTAGAATCCAAAACTTCTCAATTCTGACGTTTCAACCTTAACCAAGGCCTCTTGACATATTTTTTGTCATCCAAATTTGCAAAAGTGCACTTTTTTCACTCAACTAAATATAAGTACTTTTTTTTCACTCAATCAATATAATAAATACGTTCTTTTCTTGTAACAATGTACACTGCTATTAGCCAAGTAACCAATTTGATTAAAAAAAATTGACAAAAAACATGGAATTTAAAGGATAAATTATCTTTTACTCCCCTATAGTTTAGTATTTTATTATATAACCCCATATGATTTAAAAACCCGTATATAACTCTCTCATGATTTGAGTCAAAGTGTTACTGTTAATTTTTACATTAAAACGAACAATCAATAGTAAAAAAGTCAAAATCAAACTAATAAATTGACAAATTCATCCTTTCACTACTTTTTTCTGATAAAAAAATGGTGCTTTATTTGAAGACTAACGTCTGAAATTATGCCAATTTGCTTGATGGATGCAATAAAGAGAGGCTACTCCAAGAAACTTTTGATAATGTCGAGAATAGGGTGAAGAAGAATAAAAATAATGCTCTAAACAACATATGTATAGTACACCTATTATTTTCTTCCTCTTATATTTTATACAACCTTTTCCCCACAGATATAATATATTTGGATAAATTATATTTTACCCCTCTGTGATTTATCCTTTTTTTACATAACCCTCCTATAGTTTCCAAAGCTATATATAACTCTCTTATGGTTTAGATTAAAGTGTCGAAGTAACGGAAATAGTCACTCATAACGGAACTTCTAAAAATATCGAAATTACCCTTATAAATACATAACACATTAACCCCCGTATGATTTTTATATTTTACCATATAACTCCCTTATGGTTTAATACTTTACCATATAATCCCCTTATGATTTTCAAAATATACACATAACCCCCCTTGGTTAATACATAAATTTTAACTTTACATAAGGGTATTTTTGACATTTTAAATAACGCCGTTATGAATGATCATTTCCGTCACTTTGACACTTTAATCCAAACCATAAGGGGGTTATGTATAGCTTTTGAAACTATAGGGGGATTATGTGAAAAAAATGCTAAATCACAGGGGGGTAAAATATAATTTACCCTATATATTTTGAAAACATGGCATGGAAACATGAAATGTGATAACGTTTTGATAAAAGTATCTTTATACTTCTCTTAAGGGCAAATTACATTTTCCCCCCTGTGATTTAGCATTTTTTACATAACTCCCCTATGATTTTAAAAACTATACATAATCCTCTCATGGTTTGGATTAAAGTGTTAAAGTAACGGAAATAGTCACTCGCGGAACTTCTAAAAATGTCAAAATTACCCTTATAAATACATGACACATTAATCTGTATGATTTTTATATTTTACCATATAATCTCATTATGGTTTAATATTTTACCATATAACCCCCTTATGATTTTCAAAATATATACATAACCCCCCTTAGTTAATAAATAATTTTCAACTTTACATAAGGGTATTTTCGATATTTTATGCGACTCCGTTACGAATAATCATTTCCGTCACTTTGACACTTTAATCCAAATCATAAGGGAGTTATGTATAGCTTTTAAAATCATATGGAGATTATGTAAAAAAACGCTAAATCACAGGGGGATAAAGTGAAATTTGCCCTTCTCTTAAACATTCTTTTAGACTGAATGTTTACGTCAATGATAAGATCTGAGGTATATTTTGACAAAAAAAAAAAAAAAAAAAAAAAAGATAAGATCTGAGGTATAATTATGGCTGCTTTTAATTTTCTAAACCATATTTCTTTATTGAGTCCTATATGGAGAGAGAGAGAGAGAGAGACGAAACTTTGCATCGAGAATTACTTGTTTTTGCATGTCCTGATTGCCAAAAGCTAATTACTGCATCAGGTAAGACGTTCAACATTAACTCATGCTGAACTTAACGTGTGAACTCATGCTGATTGTCTTGAAGTTCTGAGGTTGAATTTTGGGCTGCTTCTGAAATTCCAAAAGATATCCACAGTCAAACAAAATTTTCATTTTCCTTTTCTGAGACGTAACTATTTAAGAAGTGATAGCTTAATTTTCCTTCTTCCATTTCTGAGATGTGACAAATAAAGGGTGAATGTATAATGAACAATCTTGACCACAAAATAAGAAATCCTTTGTCTGACATTTTGCCGTGTGCAATTTCTGTGTGCTCTGAGATTTCCTTCTACCTCAGAAATAGATTTTTCATTCTCTGCTCCTCAATGATTGATCAAGTCAAGTCAACCCCAGTTTTTCCAGTTGAAATTCTAGTACAACTAAGTGAGGAAGGTGATTGCTTGTTTATACCTCTCAAATAAATGATTGGCTGGTTTTGAAGAAACCAAATGCTACTAATAATGGATTTGATCAACCCCAGTACTTTGTTGCAACCTGCATTTGCATTTGCATTTGTTGTTGATTGAAGGAACATCAAATGTATATTGCTGCATTTCAACAAAGAGAGCTATGGACCATGTAAGAGGCTATTGCTCTCCCAACACAATATTGATCAGGTATTCACACTTGTCAGTTACCCGCTAACATAGGAAATCTTCTTTACATGATATAGCAAGACTAAGTTTGCACTAAGCAGCATATCTTAATTTGTTTTTCGTTCAAATAGTATTGCACAGAGATGTCAAAGGTAACCATCTGGCAAAATTGTATCCATTATCAGCATCTTCTCTAACAATTTGTCAAATAATGCAATCATTTACTATTCACCAGATTCCAGTACATTTATGCATTACAATAAGAAGCTTCACAGTACCTAAGCAAAGAATAAAGAAGAGAGTCATTCCTCCTCAATCCCCAAGATAAGAATCTTCAGATCCACATTTCCCATGCTCGTCTGTTTGTCTTCAATCTCTCTAACTAAACTTATAAGAGAGTCAGGACAGTACTGCATCTCAATCAGTTCTAGAGTTGATATATACCCTAAACAACATGGGAGCTCCACCAGTTCCACACCTTCACCTAGAACTAATTTCTGAAGAAAGGGTAAATGTTCATCAGAGCCTATCCACCTGAGAATGCCCAAGCATGCCAATTTCAAGACTTTGAGTTTAGGGAATTCCCCTTCTCCCATTTCCCATGTTTCTATCTCATTACGGTCACCATGTAATTTGAGAACCTCAAGATTTGGTAGCTTTCCAATTGTGGAAATTATACTCCAGGAGTAGTCTTCCAAAGTCAACATTTTTATATTCAAGGGGAAATAAAATTCAATCCCACGCCTACTCAAACCAGAAAGAACGAACTTCAGTGCCTCCAATTGTCTCAAGAAGTCCATAGCCACAATCTTGTTGCAGTCCTCAATAGATTCTTTTGATTCTAAGAGACAGCATTTTAGTTTGCGAATATTCGGAAACTTTTTCAGTATCTTTTCCATGCTTTGCCCCAAATAAAGCTTTGGAGTTGCAATGGTGTGTAGATTATATAAAAAAGAGCAGCTTTCAAGGATGTCTTTGGTCAATCTAAGATCAATCCTATCACCTCGTACAATCAGATGCCTCAATTCCTTCATATACCAAATATTACCTGGCAATAGGAAACTGCCATTATGTACCTTCAGAAGAAAGGTTTCCAAATTTGAGAGGTTGGCTATTGATGATGGGATGTCATTCATCTGTCCTTGTGATAGAGCCGTTATTTGGCACGTTTCACAGTGTTATTTTGTCCTAATTTTGGCTATTTACTGTGCTAAGTACTGAGGTTTAACTTATATTTCATATTTGTATGAATTATAGGTGGTCGGCATTAAAAATGATCTCTTGAGGCAAATTTACAGAAGACCCTTCATCTTAGAGCGTGGTCACGCCTTAAAAGGTAGACGTTACCGAAAAGCCGGACCCTGGTCCACGTGAACCGCGAGAAGCACAGGATTAAAACTCCAAAAGGCTAGCTATTGTTTAAAGAATGTATATAAATCGGGAAGAGGATGCCAAAACATGGTCGTCCTCCATGTGCATTGCACGTGATTTTGTGTGAGAATTTTTTTGTTTTGATGAATATTCGTGTGTTGGAATCCAAAAGAGACTAATAGAAAGGCTCTTCTTTTGTTGTCTTGGAAGTTGGAACGAAAAAGGTTTTGCATGTATGTATGAAAAGCATAAAAAAGTAAAGCATGCATATGTTCGGACTCTCTGTCCAATGTGCCAAGTAACACGTTTCACCGCCTCCCCTCTCAGAAACTTTCTCAAAGTCTCTCACTTCTCAAATTTTTTTCCCCTGCTCTTCGGTTGCCCACCAGAACAGAATAGAAAAAAGGCAGATGACTCCTTTGTCTCACCCATTTCTCCTCACTTCTTCGTTAATGGTCGATTCCTCTCAAGCTCTCTATTCAAATAATAGTAAAGAGGAAACAAAGATGAAGGAGGAAGATGTTTGATTCATCTCAGTCATCTGAATCATTTTTTTCCCCAAATGTAATCATGGTAAACTTTCACCCTTTTTGCCTATGTTTAATGTCCCTGTTTTCTTTCTTTTTTTTCGGTAACATTTTCCTTCTTTGTTTTGATTCAGTCTCTCCAAACGCAGGAGCAAGAACCATTGTCCCTCTACTAAGATGTGGAAAAATCTGATATAGGTACCCAAAATATCTAGAATTTTTTCCCTTCATAAACAATTTTGTTGACAGATTTCATTTTTTGTGGGTTTTGTTGGAACTTTTTTTTCAGAAATATGTGTCCATTTATTGTTTATTTAAAGTTTACGATTTAGGTTTGAGAATTTATTAAAAGGTAAGGTTTGTATGACCTCATTTCTT